AGTGGGCATCTCTGTCTTGTTCATGTTTTAGAGGGAATGCTTTTAGTTTTCCTCCACTTAAGACGATGTTGCCTGTTATTTGTCAGAAATAGCTCTTGTCAAACTCAAGTATCACCCTTCTACACCTATTTTCTTCAAGGTTTTTACCATGAAGTGGTGTTATATTTTGTCAAAAGCCTTTTCTTCATCTACTGATAGGATCATGTGGTTTTGGGGGGGTTTCTGGTTTTCTGTTTGCTTGCTTGAGACAGGGTCTTGCTATGCAGCTCAGGTTGGCCTTGAGCTCACTTTGTAGCCCAAGCTGGTCTCAAATGTGCAACGATCCTCCTGCCTCAGCCTCCCGAGTGCTGGGATTATTGGCACACGCCACCACACCCGGCCTGATCATGTGGTTTTTGACCTTGCTTCTGTGTATGTGATGTATTACATTTATTGATTCATGTATGTTGAACCATTCTTGCATCTCTGGGATGAAACTTACTTGGTCATGAAGTACAATCTTTTTGACTATGTGCTGCATTCTATTTGCTAATATCTTATTGAGGATTTTCACATTTATGTTCATTAAAGTGATAGGCCTGTAGTTTTCCTTTATAGTTGGGTCTTTATCTGGTTTTGGAATCAGAATGATGCTGGCCTCTGTAAATGAATTTGGAAGCACTCCATCCCTTTCGATTTCTTTCAGGAGTGTGAATATGACATCCACAGGTGATAGGACATCCTTAAATGTTTCGTATAATTCAGCAGTGAATCCATCAGTCCTAGGTTTTTCTTAGTCGGTGGATTCTTTAATACTATCTCAATTTCATTGCTTGCTATCATGTTGTTTAGTATTTTTATGTCTTTTTAAATTAACTTTTGTAATTTGTATGACCCTAGGAATTTGTCAATTTCTTCAAAATTTTCCAAGTTATTGGGATATAATTTTTCATTGTGGTTACTCTCTTCTGGATTTGATGGTGTCTGTGGTCATTTCATCTTTTTTGATTCTAATTCCATTGATGTGAGTCTTTTCTTTGTCTTGTTAAATTTGGATAGCAGTTTATCTATTTTGTTTATTCTTTGGAAAATCAGCTCTTCAATTCGTTGATTTTTTTTTCAAACTTGATTTCATTGATTACTGGTCTAATCTTTATGACTTTCCTTCTCACTTTGTTTTTGAAGTATGTTAAAGTTCTTCATAAGTTTATTTCAGCTTGCTCTGCTTGCTTAATGTAAGCATTACCTGGTTCATTTCTGTATGTTTGTGTGCTATTAGAAACCTGTGCTAGAAAATTACCCAAACACACTCTGATTGTTCATTTCCTGAATTTGCCCTTCTTCCCCCTTTTCACCTTCAGATAGTCCTTCCATCCTTGATTACCAGGGGTTCCTGACAATGATTCCATAACTTAACCTGCATATTATTCCAAAACTCAATGCTAGGCAAAGTCAATATGATTCTGAGCTTGTCTTTTGGTGTACCATTTTACTTTGATGTGCAATAACCTTTTCATATTATTTCTATTACCATTTCTATGTTAGGATACATCCTTAATGGGGAAAATAAGGACAAAAGAGGCCTTGAGCAGTGTCTGTCTTTTACTCATATAGAATCAATTTCCCCACCCATTGGTCCCATTTCTTCCTATCAACTCTTCCCTGAAATGTAAGTTCAAAATAAAACAATAACCACAAAAATAGTTTTGCCAGTTTCCACATTCTGTGCCTTAGTCTCTGACCCTCACAGGTTCATGCTGATCTTTGTGTGTGGAGAGATCCACACACCTACAATCCCATACCTTGTCACTATCTCTCTCAGCATCTAGACTCCAGTGCAGCCCAACAGCCCAGAGTAGGTTTGGAGCCAGTCTTCTCTCTCGAGTCGATTCTGCATTTTATGTATTTCTCTTCCTCTCTCCATTCCTCCTTCTCTCTTAAGGTATACTCCTTTCTAGAATCTGTGTCTATGTAGAGCATATCTCTACTTTTTAAACTTTTTAAGAAAAAACATATATAGTTTGCCTTCCTCCACTCCTACTAATAATAACATAATTGTGTAACTTCCTTCTAAAATTTCACATTACTTCCCCATCCTAAAATGATTCTTCCTTTATTATATTCAAGACGATGTCCACTGTAGGAGTTTCTGCTACTTCTTCATGCTTTCTCAGGGAAACCATATGGCAGGAAAGTTTCACATACCCAACCTTTAGACAAATGAAATAGGAACACTAGCTGACAACTCCGTGGACATCTCCAGCCCTTGTTTTAAACTTCATGCTAAAAGGAAAGTTCTTACCAACAGCACCTAGGCAACCCATGGTGGAAACCCTAGCCACACTGCTTCTCCTCCCTTCTCCACTCTTCCTGCATGACGTCTTTCTGTGCTGAAGCCTCGGGTCTGTGGTCGCCAGACACAGAGAGGAGACCGTGAAGGATGGCTGTGGGACCTCAAGGCAAAAGAGCAGGTTTTCCATCTTGATTTGCCTCCACATTCTAACCAGACAACTATGAGTAAGTTTCCTCACCAACCAGAGCACAATGTTTGCATATTAAGTTGGAGATGATAATAACTACCACAAAAGGCTGTTTCGTGACTACCAAAGAAGATAATATATACACATACTCAGTACACTGGTGACTGGCTTTGCAACAGAACAAACACATTTTTAAATGCATGAACAGAACTATGAGTGTTGTTCTCTAGAAGTCAGGCTGGGCCAAGCATGGTGGGAAAGAAAGATTAATAATCAGCTTCTGAGTTTACTTTTAAATGAAGCATTTTTATCTTTTAAATCTCAAGAAACCAATTCTTTTTTTCAAACTGGGAATCGAACTCAGGACCTCGCACTTGCCGGGCAGGTGCAGTGCCACTGAGCTATATATCACCGGCCCTGAAAGAAGCCAGTTCCAAAAGGAGCAACTCTCCATGATAAAAGTACCTGAACACTTTGCTTTATTATTCATTTGTATTAAATATGCTAATGTAATTGCAAATCCTAACTTTGAATTCTATTATTGCTCTATGCTACTCAGGACAGTTGATACAACTGATACTAATGTCCCATCTTCATGGTCGAACACACCGGATGCGCCTCTTTTTTCTAGGGTTGGCTATGGTTTCCTCATGAAAGCCCATGTACGGGGTATATACAGAAACCACTACTCCATTCTGGCCCACACCTTCCCAAACAGCTAGCACTCACTGTGTCCCCTCCTTGTGCAACAGATCTTTCCATGCTGCCCTCCTCCCATGGACACTCATCCTCTTGTGCAGCCTGCATTCACTGTGAACTGTTCTCAGACGTGCTGGGGAGGCGGACATAGAGCCCCAGGATCCCATCAGTTGGAAGAGCAGAACTTAGCTTCCTCAGCAGCTTTTTATTATTCCTACTCCTCTGGGAGGAAGGTTTCAGCAGGCCGGATCCTCTCACTGTGATTCCTACCTGCCAGAAAATAGTGTCTCCCGGCAGTTTTAGAGCCTTTCATTCTCCACCTCCCCGAGCTGGTCAGGTCCTGATCGTTGTAACCTGAAGATGCGAACACCGGTGCACCGGAAAGAGCGGGCTTCTCAGTGCCCCCAGACTCAGTAATCATGTCTCTGCACAGGTAGGGCTTCCATCACCAAGCTGCCATCAGGGCACGAACCCAACAAGAGCCAGGTTCTCAGGACATCAGCCCCAGCTCACGGCCACCTGCTGCTGCAGTCTGGCCCAGGAAACAAGCAATACCCTTGCTCAACTGAGGCAGGGCAGGCCATCGTGTCCCAACTCGCGACCCTGAGGACAGAAGTAGTACATGGTGCACAGCCTTCACCTACCCATTCATCTGCCATCCACTCCAATCCTGTCAATTCACCCAGATCCTCGAATACCAGATGCATGAGGAGATGGGTTCTGATTTTCCATTACATTGTGTGCTCCAGATTTTTGAGCTGTTGTTGGTGGTTAAGTGAAAGGTACTGGGATTTGGAATGAGAACGTGTTTTGTCAGCTCTTGGTATATCCAGAGCTAGATGAACAGCAAGCCAGATCTCCAGTAGCGCACTGTGGCTCAGTACAGGCGTGGCTGTGGGCTCCTTTGCCCAGGAGGATGATTAATCAGGCCCTGGGTGCCAGCTGCTTTGTGATGCTTGTGCTCTTTGCGGACAGCTGTCTATTTCAAGCTGTGCTGCCTCCTTCCAAACATAAAGGTGACACCACAATTTCCAGAAAGAAAATTTCAAAGTGCTCGTACTTATTCCAATGCACATAGAGTATACTGAGGTACATATTCAGGCTATTTTTATTAAAGCCCACTTAGAATACATACCATTACAGTAAATAAATATAGATTTCAGAAGCCAGGATAAATACAATAAATTTATTTTTAGATACACATACAATCTGGTTAGAAATGTGTAAATATATGTTTCTGCAAGTACTCTATGCAACGATCCTTGATAAACAGTGTCATTTTACTTTTTTATTCTACACTACATAAAACCAGTGAACTATTGATAGCTGACTTATAAGACAGTTAAAATTTTTGATTCAGAACAGAATTTAAGTATTTTAAAGGTGATTCATTCTTGAAAATGTCCTCAGTACTTGTTTTTTAATCAAAAATCCCATAAGCGTAGTGTATTTATATAATTTCATAGTCCAAGTATAAATCAAAATTTTTGTTTTGTTTTGTTTTGTTTTTCTCCGGTACCGGGAACTGAACTCACGACCTTGGGCTTGCCAGGCAGGCGCTTTTGCCGCTGAGCTAAATCCCCAGCCCCTTAAATCAAATTTTAAGCAAAGGAAAAGTTGGTCAAGTTTTTCAGAAGTTTTGAAAAACATATGCCTAAAATTTAGAGGGAACCAGAGAGAATTTCAGTAGAAATGATTTTTTTCCTTAACCTAGATGATGAATGTCTAATTCGGAGTGTCCATGTGGCACACAGTTCCCAAATTAGACTCTTTCAGAGACTGACGTTTTCAGCAGGAGAGGGCGAAGGGAGAGTTAAACACCGGCTTTCTATACATCCGCAGCCAAGCTGCCTAAATCCCGAGTTTGGCCCGTCTGCTGCGGCTCCCCGTCTGCGCTGTGGTGAGACCCGAGGGGGTTGCGACCACCACTCCCGCAGGAGGACCGTTTCCCCACCAAGCCCCGGGCACGGCCTGAAAAGGCTGAGGCGGCAGGGCCTTCTCTCGTCTGCAGGATGCCCTGTCCAGAGCGCACGTCCCCTTGGGGCTTGCTCACGATGCCCAGGGCGGTGCCCAGGGAGCACCCGGTTCATCTCTGGGTCCGCCTCGC